AAAAAAAAAAAAAAGAATTCTGGGTCACAACTGAGGGGTGACCTAATTCTTCTTGCAGCTTCCTGGGGACAAAGAGTTTGTATCATGGCAGCAGGACTTGGAGGACTCGGTGAAGCCCGCACAGCAGGCCCGGCCCACTGTGATCCGTTGGTCCGAAGGCGGCAAGGAGGTCTTCATCTCTGGGTCCTTCAACAATTGGAGCACCAAGATTCCACTGATTAAGAGGTGAAGCCAAGTGTCTTGGTTGAGTCTACAGAGCCTAGGAGTAGGGACCCGGCTAGACGATTCTGCGCCACCTGCTAGGGACTCTGAAACATTTTCTGTGACCAGTGGCTCCATCTGTGCCTCATAGCGAGTCAGAGAATATTATTGCCTCAGAGGAGCTGAATGTCACAGCTCTGTGGGTACATTCTCTAGGACTGTGTTAATCCAAGTCCTTTCTATGCTTGTGGGAAGTCTTTCATAACTGGCTGAGTCCAGCTGCTCTGACTTCTGCATTAACACCAAACACATTGGGAAGTTCTAGGCAGTAATGTTACTTGTTGCTTGCAGAACACTAATAAATTATTAAACTGGTGATCAAAATGGCCTGTCAGTAGGTAATTTTCCAGAAAATGATCGCCAAAATGTGGAAAGGGTACCTCGAGCCACGTCTGTGTCCTGAATCTACCGCTATCTTATTTCTACTCAGGAGGGATCTGTTCTGTTGAAGCAAAATAGTTGTACAAAGGTAAACCATGTTGGGGCATGAACGTCTTCATTATTCTTTTCCAGATGTTAGTTAAGAACTAAAGTTACTGGGAGGGGCTGGCGCATACATGCTCAACATGATACAGGAAAGGAGCTGGGGTTGGTCAACGATTGTTACTCCGGGGGTGCAGTCGCTTAGCAGTGTGGGAGATGACAGCTATGATACTGGGACTGCCTCATGGTTTTTACCTTCACATTCTGTCTTCTAATAGGAACGTGGCCCATTTAACTCTGTTTTCTTCTGTAGCCATAATGACTTTGTGGCCATCCTGGACCTCCCCGAGGGAGAGCACCAGTACAAGTTCTTCGTGGATGGACAGTGGGTTCACGATCCATCAGAGGTGAGGCCTTCATCTCCCAGGGGAAGCACTGACTTAACAGTCTCCTTGGAGCTATTATTCCCCTGACGTCACTGCTGTCAGGATTGATGGACAGCAGCTCTCCTCCACTGGAGGGTTTCTTTCTGGATAAAAGATGAAGGGGGCACATATGATCATTTTGAAAAAGAGGAGAATTGGATGGAAGAAATGGGAGAGTTGGATGGAAGAGATGGATTTGAAACGGGGACTCATGAATTTTTTCTGTTCACTGTTTCAGCCGGTGGTTACCAGTCAGCTTGGTACGATTAACAACTTAATCCATGTCAAGAAATCTGATTTTGAGGTGTTTGATGCTTTAAAGCTAGATTCAATGGAAAGCTCGGAGACATCTTGTCGAGGTAACTGTAGTGTTTGCTCTTTCTTGGTGTGTTTTTCTTCTAATGCATGTTCCTTCCCAAGAATGGTTTTTGTTTGTCTTTTCATTTTCTCAGGGATCTCCTGAATTTTATTTATATAGGTTTCTTCTGTAAACATTTAGGTCCCCTTCTCTGAAACAAATAAAATCTCAGCCCCTGGCAACCACAAATTTGCTTCATGTCTCTATGGATTTGCCTATTTGGGACACTTCATGTAAATAGGATCATATAGTATGTGTCTTTTGTGTCTGGCTTCTTTCATTTAACATCATTTCAGGATTCATCCATGTTGAAATATGTATCAGTACTGCATTCCTTTTCATGGGTGAATAAAATTCCACTGTGTGGATAGACCATTTTGTTTATCCATCCATTAGCTGATGGACGTTTGGATTGTTTCCACTTTTTGTCTTACTATAAATAATGCAGTTACAAACATCTGTGTTTTGTGTGGACAGATGTGTTCATTTCTCTTGGGTATATACCCAGGAGTGTAATTTCTGGGTCATATGATAACTTAATATGTTTAACTTTTGGAGGAAATGCCAAACGATTCTCCAAAGTGGCTACACCTTTTTACGTTCCCACCAGCAATGGGAATAGTACAAAGGTTCCAATTTCTCCACTTCCTTGCCAACAGTTATTGTCCTCTCACCATTTTAATGAGTGTGACGTGCTATCTTGTTGTGGTTTGATTTGTATTTCCCCAGTGACTACTACCTTGTTAATAAAAATGGACAAATCATTGTGGTATCAGTAGGGTTAGAGTTTATAACCTTGTTGTCTGTTGCTTGGATGGAAAAGAGAAGGAATCTAATCTTTCCATATTGTTTAACAGTTCACAAAGCATTGTCACATCTGTTATCTCATTTGACTCCTAAAAAAACATGGTGAATTAGGGCAGAGATGATCTTCATTTTATGAATGAGGAAACGGACCTTCGGGGAAGGGATTTGTTCCAGGTCGTACAGCTGACACATGGAGGAGCTCTTCCACACCTGCACTTCTCCCACTCATCTCCTCTATCCTCCACAACGTGTTACCATGTTGTGGAACTTCATGGTTTATGTTTAGAATGACGCAGACTTTTTCTTTGGCTGCCTTACAGCTGTAGACACAACAGGCCACAAGTTTATGGTCCATGACTTTTACCATATTTAATATTAGCTGCCATGTAATTTTTAATTAATTAATTTTTCATGCATTTTTACTAGTTCTCCAACTATCCCTTATATTTGGATAAATATCTTCCAGACCTTTCGAGCTCACCCCCAGGGCCTTATGGTCAAGAAATGTATGTGTTTCGATCCGAGGAGAGATTCAAATCCCCGCCCATCTTGCCCCCTCACCTTCTCCAAGTTATTCTTAACAAGGACACTAATATTTCTGTGAGTATCCTGAGAGTATTGCTGGGGCCTTGGGGGGGTCACTAGGACCATTTGAGCTAAAGTTCAGGAATCCTAGATTTGAATTATTACCAAGATGTGTTGAGAGTACAAATCATAGACGTTATCAGTAGCATTACAGATTCCTTTTCCAGGGCTGAATTGTGACTTTCCAGATGCAGATATCAAAACTCATAGTTGTCTTCTGGTTGTAAGAAGTCAGGCCCAGAGCTATGGATTACTAGAACTAATTTCCAGGACTTCTATTCCAACACAAGATAAGGAGTACTTATCATTTGGGGATATACAAAAGAAATATAAGGGTTTGGGGGGGACGTTTGCATATAATTTACATGTCTAGTCAATTCACTTGATTCCCACTAAGATTTTTTTGCCTCTTAACATGAATCTTCTATATGTGTTGTGGGCAAGATTTTTACCTTAGCTCTCTGGAGGAAGATGAATAGATACTGAGGCCTAGCGTTTCTGCCCTGGACTCAGAATTCTCCTCATTTTCTGTAATGAGAATATACTAGAGAGAGTACATTATTTAAAAGAAGTGATACATTCTAAGTTAGAGTTTCTCAACAATCCCAAAGGGCTCTGAGAAAGAGGAAACAGTGTGGTTTAAGACTGTGCATGTAACCCCATTCAGTGATTTTTTTCCTCTTAGTGTGACCCAGCCTTGCTCCCTGAGCCCAATCACGTTATGCTGAACCATCTCTACGCATTGTCCATTAAGGTACGTGGTGGGCCTGGCTCTTCACAGAGCTCCCCAAAATGGGAGGGAGGGGTGACACATGCCCCCCCTCTCCCCGCCCCCAGTGGTTACTTGCTCTGCTAATTCACTAAAGCTGAAGTTGGTAGGAACGGTCAAATTATAGGAGAAATTTTTTTAACTACTTAGTGGGGGATGTTTTATTACCTTTAAAAAAAAATCTTAGTCTGTATATCTGTTCTGGCTAGCGGAATTGCTGTGATTGAATGGACTTTTTGGTCCCTGGCTTTGTATAGGTAGCTATAACCTTTGTACCACCTACTTAATTAAATTTCAGTTCACAGCACTAGGATTTCATTTGCAGAAAAAGCAAGTTTAGCATCCGGTTCAAAGAATGCTTGAATGTGATATTAAGTCCCCCATTTTTTAAAGGTGGCCGCAAGCTACTTTCAAGTGCCTGTCATATTCTCCCATACACTCGGTCAAGGTGAAAGGTGACCAGATTTGCTGTCACCTCCAACTCTTAGAGTCCCTGATTTCTCTGCTGCTTTAGCACCTAAGTTGAAAATATCCGTTCAGTCTAGTACTGTCTCTGTAGTGTGGCCACTGGAATAAAGTTTGACAAAGCTCCGCAGTTACTGTACTGGGCCGATCACCACCAGAATCATGTGGGCAGTGTATACAAGTACAGATTTCAGAGCCTTCATCCTCAGGGACTCTGAAGACGTGCGTCCAGGGCGGGCCCCAGGAATCCTTCTAAGCTGCTTCTACAGTAAAACCTTGGATTGTGAGTGACTTGGTTTGAGAGTGTTCTGCAAGACAAGCAAACATTTCTAATACATTTTAATGTGGTAAATGAGTGAAGTCTTGCAGTACGAGTAGTTGGTTTCTGGAACGAATTATGCTCACAAACCAAGGTATTACTGTCTTTCTTAGACGTGCAGCCGATTAGGGAAATCACGAATGGATATAGCTTCTTTAACAGATGATATGGTCCCTTTACATAGTCCTGAATCTCATTTTTCTATAACCTTGTGAGGTGTTTTTTTTAACCCCTGTTTTATAGATAAAGAAGCTAAGACTCAGAGAAGGTCAAACTGCCAGTAAGTACAGAGAGAGGGACTGATGCCCAGTCCTCCGAGCCTCTGCCATGTTCTCTCCTAGAGATTGATGTGCCAGGTCTTTCTGTACCTGCTCCTCGTGTCTACCCAACCCTGTCTGGGGTTCAATGTTTTACCTGCCTTGCTTCTGTCATAGTTAGGCTGTGATCAGCATACGCTGATCCCAGAATATGAATCTGAGAAGCATTTACTGTGGATAATACAGTCCACGGCGAAACAGGAAAATACACTGGCTTCTCAGCTGCATTTGCTCAGGTTCTTTAGGATCTGACCGACGTTTGCCTCCTGTAACTGGTTACCTGTCACAGCCTGGGAGATGGCACCTCTTACTTTTCACACAGGTTCTTACCCAGGTCAAGGTTCTGCTTATTGTGATTCAGCCTGGCCTTGATCCATTGGATTGAGAAGCTCCAAGGAGGATTTAGGGGTCTGCTTTGTTCAAGGATAGATGGAGACTCCTGAGTCCCCTCTTGATCAGAGACGGCTTTTTTCAGTTCATCCCTGGCATTAAATGGGAATCAGACCTGCCTCAAGGCTTGGAAATGCTTTTTTTAAAAGGATCCTTGCCCTTTCTTCTCACTGCATCTAAGACTTCCCTCTAGAAATGGATGGCAAGATATTTCTTTTTTTTTTTCTTTGCTAGCTTTAAGCCCAGTATTCAAATTTGAAAGTGGGGAAGGGCGTGAGGTAAGAGACTAATATTTCTTCAGCACCTATTAGGTGTCAGGTACTATGCCAAATATTCTAATCATCAGAGCCTCCTTACTGGTGGGTGTGATCCTTTGTAATGATGAGAAAAAAGACTTAGAGACATTAAACAGATTATTCAAGGCCACAAACAGAGTTAACAGTAGGAGTCAGGATTGGAACTTAAGGTGATTGGGTTCCAAAATGAGCCTCCTATAGAATCAAATCCTGTCTTTGAGAAGTGAGCCACTGTGGAGGGCTGATGGCTGGGAAGACCCACCTGAACGAATGAGTGAGCTGTGTGTATTTCTTCCCCTTGCAGGACAGTGTGATGGTCCTTAGCGCCACCCATCGCTACAAGAAGAAGTATGTCACTACTCTGCTGTACAAGCCCATCTGAAGGGATCCCTGCCTGCCTCCCGGGATTCAGAAGCATCTCCCTTGCCTTTCTGGACTGGACCAGTCTCACCCGAGACTGGAAGGCTGATTTGCTTTGAGGCTGATATGTGTGTTTCCGAGCCTGAGTAGGATGCTCTGCTTTTGCATTTGTTGAAGATGAGAGCTTTATGAATTCATGGAATTTAACGAAAAAACATTACACATCTGTCTACATAAGAGAAGAGGGTTAATCGAAGCCTCCTAGCTAGATGTAGTCTCTGCCTGTGGGGACTTACCAAGACCCGTTTGGGGAGCTGCAGGAAGAACCATTCATTACAGGAAGCTTTTTTCCTAAAATGAATGCAGAGCAAACTCTCAGGATCCTTCACGTGTGGAGAGTCTGTCACTGCTACCTTGGCTGTCCAAGGGGTGGACTGTACCAGGCGCCTGCCCTGCCCGCAGCTGCCTCCTTGGCAGGGCAGCTCTTCTTGCATGGGGTTTTCTGTATTCCCAGGGTCTGTGGCACGATCTGTGTTGTTTTATGTGATACCAGACGCCCCTTCGTCCGCTCATTTCACATTCTTGCTTTGATAACCTCCTTCCGACCCCACACCGGACCCTTCCCTAACACAAAACTCATTGGGTAAGTGACCCCTTTCCACGGCTGTGTGAGACCTGACCCACCTCAGACCCTAGGGCTGCCAGAAAGTCTCCTTTTTAGCCCAGCGCAGGCCCAGGCCACTTTGTGACTGCTTGTTGTAACTTGTAAGGAAAAACATGGCTCGGCACTGAGGAAGGCAGGAGTGAGGTGTGCCGGTTTGGGGGTGATGCCGCAGCCCGGGCTGTGCTGGCCCGCTCCCGTGGGCTGTCCCACCCGGCCTGGCCCTGGTCCTTTCCTTTCACAGATGCTTTGAAGGTGGGACTGGAACCAGGGAAAACTTGCATGTCTCTCGTCCTAAAGAAAAATGTTTTTTCTTTAAATAAAAAAATGCCTTTTCGTTGGTCTTAAGGGCCTGCCCAGGAGAAGTTCAGGCTCTTGATCAGTGGCTCCCAGTATCATGTCTGGTCTGGCCCTCTATAATCTTACATTCGTGTGGCTGACCCCAGTCCACGCCATTACACTAAACACTGCTCTGGATGCAGATTTATCCAGACTGATTTGATGCCCCAAAAGGTTCCCTCAACTGAAAGATTCGTTAGGCCAAGAAGCAAGAAAGTACCACTGAGGTTCCCACCCATAGAAAGTGTCTGACAGGATCTTTTCTTTGTCTGCCTCTTCTTTTTAAAAAAAGCGTTTGATGATAAAGGGGGGTCAGTGATTTCCATTTGTGGAATGAAAAGTAGCTATTCGATCCACTCTTGGGGCTCAGAGAGAAAATATTTTTTTCCAAGTATCTGTGGCTCTTCCATTACAGATAAATGCAAGTCAAACATTCAGCACCGAAGGAGGCCATACTTGACGCTTGAGCGACTCCCTGACAACTAAGATGGCTCAGCCACACTGAAAGGGCGCCCACAGGCCAGTTTAGCTGCCTCCTGCCTTCCCCAGAGCCGACGACAGAGACAGTGGGCTTCGGGTATGTAGACTTCTTAGACCCCGGGGCCAAGGCAGCAGGATATGTGGGTTGTTGTTTGGTGTTTTGCCGGGAATGCAAGTTGCTGAGTGCTCTGGCGGCAAATTGCTGAGAGTAAATGCTGCCGTAGCCACTCAAGACCATCTCCTGCAGCAAAGATGTTGGTGGAGAACTTTTACGGTCCCAACCATTTTTTGAATGGTGTGCCATTTAAAAAAAAATCTAGGCCAAATCCTATTATAACCAGTTCTCAGGATCTACATCATCTTCGGTTATACTCCAATTTTGTTTTTTTCCCCATTCCCCGTTAGTAAGTGGGCCCCTTAGAAGGACTCCGAATCTTGGTTGTTACGTGGAGGATTTTGTCGTCCTCACATTTCTTGTCAATAGTATTGAAATGTAATTTCCTATGTGTTCATGTATTAAAATTTTTACTCCACACAGGTGTATCAGTAGAGTGGGGCAGGACAAGCCTCTCAGGCTAGACGCTTCTCTGAATTGGGTCTTGGCTCCAAAGACATTAGGTTTTGGGGCTGGTGGCCTTTCCGTCTGCCTAATCCGGAAATGTGCAGAGCGTGTCCGTATCCCAAGTTCTGAGGTGATATTTCAGCCAGATGAGACGTGGGAGCCTACCGGCTGGTGTGGAGGGGTCTGGTAAGAGAACTGGGTGACGACTCACTCAGACTGCGAATACGTCCCAAGGCCCTGAGAAGCCCTATCACATCTCTCAGTCTGTCCCCAAGAAACTTCTAGAAGGTAGAGAGGGAGGGAGGAAGACAGACCACGCACAACTCAGCCCTTCTTTTCTAGTGGTGAAAAGGGATAGTTTGTTTTCTGCAGAAGAGAATTTGGCAGATCTTGAAACAGTAAAGGCAAGGAAAATATTCCCCCCCCCCTTTTTTTTTTTTGCCTGTAGGAGTTTCACAGAGTCAGATGAGTAAGAAAATGGCTCTGGGGGAAGGCCCATCTTAAAGAGCTGCATCCTGATGTGGAGTTGTAGGAAAAAGAAAGAAAGAAGGACTGAGCTGAGGAATAATACTAGGAAAATAAAGACTTAAGGAACTCAGAACTAAAAATATCCTTTTTAAAAAAAATTGAATCAGACATACTGGTGTCCTTGGATCTCACTGTACAGAATTTCCTGTATAAACCGTTTTCCCTTTGTTTCTTGTTCCTATTCTCTACCCTTCTATATTCTGCTTTAACTTGATTTGTCAGACTTTGCCAGGGTCTCAAATCAAACCTTACCTTAAACAAGTGTTAGGCATCTTGCTGGTAGGGAAGACTTTTGTGTCGTGTTATCAGCTTGCTTTCAGCTCTGAGATGAGTCGGATCTAACCACTGAAGGCACCGCCTCTGAAGGGCACACCTGGCCTCAGTACCATTTGCTTTTTTAAACAATACTTATATGGTAGAGAAACCTATAGAAGGAGACGCCAAGAGAAGTTTCCGAAAGGATCCTAAACCCAGGCCCACTCCCTTCCCTCCAGTTATGTCTAGTGTCTTGTAGACCAAATGGATCTGAGAGAAAACCTCTGAAGGGTGTCAGTACTCTGTGTGTGCTGCTAAAGTGAAGTGAAGTTTGTAAAGAAGTGTTACCTCCAGACTGGGTTTATGTTAATCTGGCATATAAATGAAGGGGACATACTCATGATAGAATGCCCTGCTTTTACCTGGGGAAATAGGGCTTTTAAATTTTTCACCTCAACTAAAAATATGCAACAGTCTATGTGTGTGTTTGAAATACGTTCTGTTCTCAAAGATGTCCAAATCCTCATGTTCTAGTAACTTGGGCATGGATGGGCTCACTAGCATATACATAGTTTGTTCCTGCATTATGCTGACTCATCCTTAAAGCCAAGTTCTCACTCTGTTCTACCAGGGATGGCTGACTCCTGTTACCCTTGGGATGGTGCACCTGGGAGGGGCAGGGGTCAAGGTCTCCCAAAGCTCTGGATCTAGGCATTTGTCTCTCCTTAAGCGCCAGTCACAATTGGAGGCTGAACAGCTGTTGATTTCTGCAATGAACCCAAACTTTTGGAGTACAAAAGCTCTACCTATTTTAAAATTATAAGAAAAAAAGGAAAGGAAGAAAGAGAAAAAACCCAAGTCGGCTACTTATGAAATCCAATTGTTAGCAATGGAATCCCTCTAAGATTCATATCGGGGCTTTGTCATGATTTGCTTTTCTCAATTGTGCTTTGAAGTGAATAAGTTTTGCTAAAAATTAAATTTTTTTACTAGTTCCAATGTTAGTTGGAGTTAAATTAATTGTGTGTAGCACAGTGCTTTTGCAGTAAGATTGGTGTGAAATGCTGAACTCTATGGATTTCATAGTCGGGTCAAATGGTCAAGGGATACCCACCATTAAGTATTATATTATGGATCGATCACATTACTTTTCTATTCCCACCTGCAGAACACTTACCCAGGTTGTGGTTTTAGAACAGCCAAGCTCACCGATGTTATTAGTTCTAATCTCCACCTTGGGCCCCGTATGTGAGACGTGTTTGAATTCTGGTAAATTGGAGGATGTCGGTTGTTATTACACTGAAGCATTTTGAATGAGTGCCGCTCTCGCCATAAAGGGGGAATAAGAATAGAATTTGAAGGGAATTAAATATGTGAGAGTCCCCCTCTATGTGGTGCTTTCTGTAACCTTTAGTGCTGAGCTTCAGAGCTGCTTTTCAGCATTTCACAAGAGTGGTATACAAGAATGGATTTTCAGCTTTTCTCCAAATGTATTTTATCACTGGACTCTTGACGTGTCTGAAAATTATGTGATGTCACACATACAGAAATGTGAGGTTCCCCCCCATAAAACTAATGAATAAAAGTATTATACAGCAATTATATTTGAATTCTTCATTGACTACTGATTATAGATTATTGAGACCTATCTGCCTTGGTGGTCCTAGGACCTAAAGATTATGAATGCCACACAGACACATTTGAATAAAGAGAGAAGTCATAGGACACAAGTGACGTCATCTTGACACCTGCCACTTTTCCCTTTCTTTCTGTCCCAGTGTATGCCAACATTCACAAGAGGAATGCAGACCCAGTGATTGAATTTCCAGCACTTTCTGTGAACTGCACACTTAGCCATCTGGTGCCGGATTAGCCAAGGTCCTAGATTACTGGTTTTCGTCCCTGGCTGCGTATTCATATCACCTACGCAGATTCTATAAAAATACTGACGTTCTGTCACTACCTCCACCCCAATGAAATGCAGGTCTCTGGTACGTGGTGCAGGCATCAGTTTTTGAGCTCCCCAGGTGATTCTAATATACATCCAGGGATGAGGACACTCCTGGACCCTCTCTACTTACCATTCTTTCTCTGCCACATATAACCTTCATTCATTACATAGGAAAGCAAGTTACTGTGTTTCCCCGAAAATAAGACCTAACCAGAAAATAGCTCTAGCATGATCTTCAGGGTGTTCGTAATATAAGCCCTACCCCAGACATAAGCCCCACTTAACATCGTCAGCCAGACATGACTGTTTGAATAATGGTAGATTTTTGTACATGAATAAATGTAGATAGTTGGAGCAAAAATTAATATAAGACCCAATCTTATTTTCGGGGAAACATGGTATATACTTCATTCTGACAGTACATCATTCCTCAGATGGCTTTGTTCAGGGCCAGGGTTGTAATAGGACAATTTTTGTTGTCCATTCCTTTATTTCACAGGGTTTTTATGTAGCTGGCCTTCGGACTTTTCCTAAAACAACACAGCCAGGCTCCCTTAATATTTGCTGCTCTAAAGATTCAACTGAGTTAAACTTCCTTCAAGGAGAGAAGAGAAGGACACTGGGAGTTACTAGAGGATGACAAGAACAGGGCACGTTGAGAGAAGTGGAGATGTAAAGTAGGACGTGAATGAAGACCCGTGAAGGTAGAAATGGACCGAAGCAGTTAACCTCAGACCTCAAAAGCAGGTCAAGAGAAGCCTGAGGACTATAGGTAGAGGGTGGTGATGTCATATGGACTCAGCCGCTGGCAGAACGGTCTGAACATCATGTGTCCTGGTCCCTGAAACAGCAACATGGCACCAGAATTCTATCAAGGCCCAGCTCGCCTTGGTGTGTGCTTTCTAAAGCATTTCTTTCTGGCCCACTGGGCTTGGACCTTCTGCTGCATCTCTTCCAAACCCCATCCTCTCCAGCATCAACAATGCCCCACGACACAGGTGGCTCAGAGACATCCTGCCATCCCCCTTTCTCTACCTCCCTGGTCTGTGTGGTCACTGTTCACCCAGCAGCACATACGCAGGTCTGGAGTGTGACCTCCCTCCCCATGACCTACTCCCTGGCTCCAGGGCACTTAATGTTGGCTGAAGATGAACTTCCCCATGCTTTCCTACCAGTTAGAACTCTTCAGCACTCAGCTGTGTTTTAGGGTTTTCTCTTCATTGACTTCCTAGGGGATGGCAGAGGTCAGGAGACCCAAACTCCACATGTTGTATATTTTATTATTTTTTATTATTTTTATTTTTTAGCTGAGCCATCCTGCCACCTGTTGGCAGCTCAGCTCAGGCTGGGAATCGAACTGCTGTTGCTCAGAGCTCGCACTCTTGAGCGAGCTCTTAACCAACTGAGCTACTCGGCTGGCCCATATATTTTAAAACCTAATAGTAGGTTTTCAGAGACTTCTCAACTCCTCCTGAACTAATTTCCCTTCGCTACAGCTTCCTGAAAGCCCTCGATTTAGTAATAGCTTATGATGACAACATCGGATAAGAATACTGAGTACCTGAAAGCCATGAAGGCGACTTCAGACTTGCAGACCTGGGTCTTGGGGGAAAAGTCTTACTCATCCTCAAAACTATGATCAGTAGCCCTAACTTAGTTCTAGTTTTTGGGGATCTTTATTATCGATTACAATAGTTTGGGGTCACAATTACAAGTTAGGCGTTGGGATGGGCGTTGCATTCAACAGGATCTCAGAAAATATTTCTGGGGGTCAAGGACAGGCTGAGGATATTTTGAATGTTTGTGTTGGATGTTTTGTTCTATCCACTCATGGAAATACAAAGGGTGCCAAAAAAAAATGTGTTCACATTTTAAGAAAGGAAAAAACTATTAAAATTGTAATACTCAAATATACCAATATCAAAAGATGAATACAAGTCACATTTGACTTCTGCAATTACAAGAGGTGCTCAAAGTGGTTCCCATCAGCGTCCAGACACTTCTGATGACGGCAAACTACTGCTTGAGCAACGCTGACCGAAGTGTCCACTTGTACACATTTTTTGGCACCCCTGGCATCTGTGCCAACCTGAAGATGGTGTTTCTTTTTCTTCCCCCAGTTAGTAGAGCTGGTTCCCATAGGTTGTCTGGGAGAGTGACCTAGAGTTAGGGTATCTGGGGACGGAGTAATGGAACCTGACAATCCATGGATCTACCAGATCAAGAGCTGGTCTGAGCTCAGAATGGATCCTGAGGCTGGGATCTTATTTTTTAGCAACCAGGATAGCTGATGACAGAAAGTGGAGCTGTCCAAGGTGAACTAGGTCACTAGCCATCTTATTCCCTGTAGCCCTCTGATGAATTGGGCCACGGGCTGCGGGTGTCTGTTGGGGTAAAGTCAACCCACAAAGCTCTTGGTGTGTGACACAGTGACAGAGGGTGAGGTGAAAAATGAAGGGGCTTCAGACGCACAGCTGGCTTTCCCCGAAGGGCAATTACTAAGGTCTGGACTTCATGGGCAGCTCAAGAGCTAGCACAAAAGCTTATTGAAAAAAGCAGAGCGAAATATCCCAAAGCCTCAAGGTGCTGAGGTGGTAAAAACTAGAGCAAGGAGGCTCGAAGACAGACAAGGTCTCCAGGGTGCCACGGTGAGGCTGTTGTTCCTCCATAGGAAACATGGTAAACTGGAAAAATTCAGGACAATAACCTAATTTCATAGGTGAAGAAGCTGAGACTTGCAAAGATGAAGACACTTGCTAGAGCTCCCACAGCTTGTTGGTGGCACAGCTCCCTTTATACATGTGACAGCTCTGAGACTCCCAGTGCTCTCATATGAGGCCACACAGCCTTGTATTACAACGCCAGGGGCCTGTGGAATAAACAGTGGTCTTCTTACTTTTAAGACCAAAAAAAAAAATCAGAAAACACTTGCCCAGGAAAAATATTTTTTCATGGATTCTATAGGTCTAATTTTTTATGCTCAGCTTTCAATCCCTAGTTGATGAAACTGGACCCAGGAACATGTAATAATTAACATCACAATTACAAAGTATTTATTAATAATCTGGATAATGTTTGGCTGTTAACAAGATAATCTTCGTGTGGCTAGAGCCTGGCTTGTTCTCCCCCACCCCCCCGCCACACAAAACAGCCAATGAATAACTTGTTGAATGAATGGATGAAAGTCATCATAAACAACTAATTTTTACCAATATTCTTTAGTTTCAAGTATATTCCTCACCAAACCTTTACTAGGACTGGATCAAAGCAACAAAACCATAGATTTGAATACCAGCTCCATCACTTACCTAATATGAAATAGACAATTTTTAAAATTGTTTTGAGCCTCATTATCCTATTTTACCAAATGGAAAATGTAACCTTTACATGTAGAGCTTTTGGATATTTTTAAAAGTGTGTGTGTGTGTGTGTGTGTGTGTGAGAGAGAGAGAGAGAGAGAGAGAGGAGAAGAGAGAGAGGGAGAGAGAGGCTGACTAAGCTCAGTGTCTAAGAATTAACTCAATTAATGTGAATTCTCCTTCTCCAATCCTAGGCTCACACCAAAATCATATGGAGAACTTGTAAAGAATCTCTGGGCATAGGGATAGGGCACAAGAACCTTCCCTTTTCCCACCCATTTCCTATGAAATTCTTATACAACCACTAAAGAAGCAAAGTAAATACATAGTTCAAAATCTAAAGAATCATCGCCTGGATGATCAGTGATTGGGGCTTCCCCTAAATGAGGTTTCTCAGATGGGATTCTACAGTCTCAGAGCCAGGAGCAGAGTGCTGGTGAGAGATCAATGATAAATGCTTTCAAACTTGGACATGGGGACCACAATAACTAGCACTGTCTCTCCACGAGGGGAAAGAAAGGATGGTATTGGGCAGGGGGAGAAAGAGGCAGGTGTGCTGTTTGAGAAAGGATACTCAATATTTTAATTTTACGTTTAGGAAAAAAAAGCCCCACTGTTTTCATGACAGACTATAGAGTGCAAAGCTCGGTGATAATTGACAGGTAGGGCTGTGCATTAGGGGAGACTCTATCTTTGGCATCAGAGATTCTCAAGCCCACCGGAACGATTAAACAAACTGGCGTTTCAGGTCAGCAACTCTGGGACGTGAAAATAATCCATCATAATGTCTTAATGTGGTTCAAGTACAGGTTTGAATGTGGGAACAAGGCTGCGTTTCACTTGTTCAAAATATCACATACCTAAGTTTGTTTAGAGTTGAAGCCAGGCAAGCCATTTTGGATAAAAGGATTGGCATGACGAATGAGAACATGAGAAAAACGATCACAAGATTACACTGTTACAGATTCTTTAGAGAAAGTGCACAGCACAGGGAAGGGCTCTGTGCATGGAGGGCCCAGGGTTCTAGCATTATTTTTCTCATAGAACTTTGTGCCCCTTCGAGAAAGTCACTTCACCCTTGGGGGCCTCAATTTTCTCAGCTCTAAAATGAGAGTAGTAAGTAGATGACCTCTACGTTTCTTTTAACCCAGCACTATCTGTGCTTTGATGAAGTTTAAGCAGTTCGTGTCAGGCAGTGAGACAGCAAGCAGGACGCACAGGTAGACACCTGCCATGTTGAGTACCGACAAAAGGACGTTGTCACGACAGTTCAATTTTTAGTAACTGGCCCT